TGCCTTAGCCACTATGCTACCAGAGCTCCCCTTCTCTATAGCACGGGTCATTCCCAAATGAGGACAGCCAATGTCGTATGATCTTAGAGCTACCTGGTGCAAAGGAGGATGAACTAGTTCCGTAATTTGAGAACATTTTAAACAATCGTGTGTTTATTATTTATATATGCTTTTTAAATGTCCACTTCCAAAATCAGCCTTATACGGTGAACGTACTGACATGTTTTAAGTGGTAGTGGTGGTATGTATGTGTGTGTTGGGGGCAGGGCAATCAAAGAATTTTATTCATCCACGTACAAAAAGAAGTAAGAAATTTCCATATATTTAGAACCTCTGTTAATTTATCTAATTATCTACCAGTCATCGAATCCTTTATTAAAATAAACAATCACCCTACAAGCCACCCATAAGGACTAGTCATTTTACACTTTTGCATGTACTGAATTCTTTAAATCATAATATCCTAGCAGAGATCCTGTCAAAAGGAGGTTGTTTTGAACGTTCAGCCATTTTACCTGCTGACCTTGGGTTTATCAGCCTCAGCAGCCCGTTACTGCCTGAGTTAAGAGACACTTCTAGCTCCAGTGGGTTTGGAATAAGAGGCAGAGCTGAAGCCCAAGGTCAAGGAGCCTTCACCAAGCCCCTAGAGCCAGCACTTTGACAACTAAGCAGAAAGTTGGTGGTTCAAACCCTCCAACTGCTCTGTGGAAGGAAGACTGGGCAATCAATCTACTTTAGTGAAGATTTACTGCCTTGGAAACCCAGTGGGGGTTGCTATGAGTCAGAAGCGACTTGATGGCAGTGAGTTTGGTGGGTTTTTTGTTTTGTTTTGTTTTGCCTCCTAAACCATAAGGAAATAAATTCCTGTTTGTTAAAGTCATCCACTGTGGTATGTCTGTTACAGCAGCACTAGAGAACCAACACAGTGGCTGTGGTAATTAAGTTTGTGTGTCAACTTGGCTGGGCCTGGTTGAGTGGCTGGACAGCTGAATGTAGTTATTCCCCATGGTGAGATTAGTAATTAACTCCATGGTGGAATCTATCAGAGCAGCTGAGTAGTTGCCTTTGGGTATGTGGTCTGCTTCCCATATATAAGAAACAGCTTTGGGAATGGTCTCTAGCTTATGGCACACTTGAACCCTGCATGTAGTCATGTCGTTGTTTAGCAGCCTGCCATTACTCTGCCGACTTTGGGACTTTCAATGGACTTGAATCAATGGCCTGCTGTGTAGTTTGGTAAAATCGGGATTGTGCCATTTTTTTTTTTTTTGTCGACCTTGGGCTTGTTAGGCTCAGCAGCTAGTAGCTGCCGAGTGAAAAGATGCCCGTAGCTTCAGTGGGCCGGGAGGAAGAGGCAGAGCTGAAGCCCAAGATCAAGGGGCTTTCACCAGCCCCTAGAGCCTAGCACTTTGAACTTGCACTTAAAGCCTCCAAATTGTAAGAATAAACTCCTGTTTGTTAAGGCCAGCCCCTTGGTGGCATATTCTTGTCAGAGTAGCACTAGGTAACCAAAAGTGGCTGTACTTCTTTCAAGAGAGATTTGTTCGTTCTTCTGGCAGTCCATGGTACCTGAACATTCTTCACCAATACCACAATTTAAAGACATCAGTTTTTCTTTGGATTTTGTTATTCACTGTCCAGCTTTTGCATGCATATGAGCTGACTGAAAATACCATGGCTTTGGGCAGGCACACCTTAGTCCTCAAGGTGACATCTTTGCATTTTAACACTTTAAGAGATCTTTTGCCATAGATTTGCCCAGTGCCATACATCATTTGATTTCTTGACTTCACTTTCATGGATGTTGATTATGGATCCAAGTTGAAATAAGTCCTTGACAACTTCAATATTTTCTCCATTTATTATGATGTTGCTCATTGGTCCAGTTGTAAAGATTTTCATTTTTGTGTGTGTGTGTGTGTGCCGGGGGGGAGGTTCGATTCTTTTTTTTATGATTTTCATTTTCTTTATGTTGAGGTGTAATCCATAGTGAAGGCTGTAGTCTTTGATCTTCATTAGCAAGCGCTTCAAGTCCTCTTCATTTTGGCAATCAAGGTTGTGTCAACTGCCTATCACAGGTTGTTAATAAGTCTTCCTCCAATCCTGATGCCATGTTCTTCTTCATATAGTCCATTTTCTCAGATCATTTGCTCAGCATACAGATTGAATAAGTGTGGTGAAAAGATAGAACCCTGACACACACTTTCCCTGATTTTAAACCATACACTATCCCCTTATTCTGTTCAAATGACTGCCTCTTGTTCTACATGCAGGTTCCACATGAGCACAATTAGATGTTCTAGAATTGCTATTCTTTGAAATGTTATCAATAATTTGTTTTGCTCTACATAGTCAAATGTCTTTGCATAGTCAATAAAATACAGGTATGCATCTATCTGGTGTTCTTTGCTGTCAGCCAAGATCCATCTGACATCAACAATGATTTCTCTGTATTGGTTCTCTAGTGCTGCTATAACACAAATACCACAAGTGGATGGCTTTAACTGACAGGACTTTATTCTCTTACAGTTTAGGAGGCTAGAAATCCAAGTTCAAAGTGCTGACTCTAGGGGCTGGGTGAAGGCATTCTCAAACTTGAGCTTCAGCTCCAGGCCCGCTGGAGGTGGAGGCTTTCTCTGACTCATGCCACTGCTGGCTGCTGTGGCTGATCAACCCAAGATCAACAGGTAAAATGACACACTTCTAAGATTTACAGGCAACATTGCAGGCTGCTGGTTCAAGTCCAGGAACAATCCCAAGATCGGCAGGCAACACAGCAGGCTACGAGTTCAAGTCTATGAACTGGAGATGAAGACTAGGCCAAATGCAGGATCCAAATATGCCAAAAGCTACAGACCTTTCCTAAAACTTCTCCTTATATGCTGGAGGCATGCCACACCCCAAACGGAGCTCCCTTTCCACCGATTAACGTCTCACAACAGATTCTGCTGTGGAGATGATTGCAATCTCATCACAGGGAGTAACTGCATCCAGCTGCCAAGCTACTCAGAACCATGGCCCAGTCACAACCTTAACTGTCACACCCTCATTCCATGTCCTTTTCTGAATCTGGCTTGACCTTCTGGCAGTTCCCAGATGTAATCCTGCAACTGTTTTTGCATTATCTTCAGTAAAATTTTACTTCCGTGTGTGATTTAATGATTTTGTTCAGTAATTTCTGCATTCTGTTGGATCGTCTTTCTTTGGACTGAACACAAATACGTATTTCTTCCAGTTGGTGGACGAAGTAGCCACCATCTAAATTTTTTGGCATAGACAAGTTTCATCTGTTTGTTGAAATATTTCAATTGGTTTTCCATCAATTCCTGGTGTCTTTTGTTTTTTACCAATGCCTTCAGTGCACCTTGGACATCTTTCTTCATTACCATCAGTTCTTGATCATATGCTACCTCCTGAAATGGTTAAACATCAACAAATTCTACTGGGTGGTATCAAATCAGGAATTCTAATGCCACATCATTTCACCCATCTAAACTGATTCCTGTGAACCCCCCACACAGACTTATGGAAGAAAATAGAACAATTGACTTACTTTATCAAAGATTTTTTTCTTATTTGATTTCTACTCTTGCATTACTTCATTACTATAATCCTTATTAAATACTCCAATTTAAGAATAATGTGTAGGTTAAAAAACTTCAAATAACTTATTTTGTTGTAGTTGAAAAGGAAAAAATGACCCCATTGAGAATAAATTATTTTAAAGTTTCTGAATACTTTGAGGAAAAATACATTAAAGTGATTTGTGCTCCACCTTGTTATAAAAATGATTTTTCATGCTATTATTTTAAGTTCCAAAGGACTGATTTAATGTTTTTAATCTGTCACAATATCAACAGAATCAGTTGTAATAAAAGGGAATGATTGAATAATGAAGTACAACAAAAAGGGAAAAAAAAAGTACTAAAGGAAGATAGGAAGAACTGGCATTCAGTTTCCAAAAACCAGGATGATAATAATAATACTTCTATAT